TTAGATGTGTTTGTCCGCTTAATAATCCTCTTTAAATAATTTTAACAATGGCAAACTCTACCTTAGTTTAAAATAAATTTTGTCTAGTTTACTATTGAGCAATTTTTAATTAATTAAATCAAATATTTTTGTAGTTATTGCTTCTTATTCAACAAAAAACCTGACTCGCTTAAAAAAACATAAATTTCTCACATTATTGCTGGAGATTGGGCAATTGTTTCTATGAACTTTTTTTGTAGATTTTGATGTCTATTATCGACCTTTTAAATATATCCATCTACTTACGAGATACCTTGTATATATAATATAAATATTTAGAAGATATATATTTTTTAAAAAAATAATCAATAGGTTTTAACGCTTTGTTACTTCTATAGGACTGAGTCTACTCGACTTATCTGTTATTTTCAACCAATAAAAAAATATCAAAATTGTAATATAGCATAGAGGGAGCCATGGAACCAAATATCGGGGCAAGTTGGAACATTGGCATTGTTTTGAGGCAGTGTGGCGAGTTTAGAACTGTAAGAGAGTCAAGGTTGTGACTGAAATAGCCCTGTCATTCACCTCGCTCCAAGCCACATTTTCACTTCACCTTCCATCATTTCTTTTTCATACAATAAACTAATTATATAAAACGGTATTAATAATATATCAATTATTTTTATACGAATTCTGAAATATTACGGTTATATCGAGAAATCACTGCGAAGTAAAAGCTCATCACTACTGACAATCTGCTATGATGATTAAGACATAATAGTTCGTGGTACAGACCCCTTTTTATCGAACTATTAACATCCGCCCGAAACTTTGTATATAGTGTCATCTCATCGTAACCTACAACTATTTTATTTACAAAAACTCTTGGAATTGTGGCGTTTTCTATCTGGAGGGGGACAAACTTTGTCTATTTACAATAATTGGTAATTGGTTGACTGTCGTGGATAATGAAGAGAAGAATAGTTGGGGTGCTCAGTCAAAAAAGGAAGGCAAAAAATAAATTATAATATTTATTTTTTACATATGCCGACGTTTCGACCTGAAGTTCAGGCCATCATCAGGGCTTTCTCCTTAAGTGACACTTAAATGGCCTGAACTTCAGGTCGAAACATCGGCATATGTAAAAAATAAATATTATAATTTATTTTTTGCCTTCCTTTTTTGACTGAGCACCCCAACTATTCTTCTCTTCATTTGTCTATTTACTTTTTTATTTTTTTTTATTTTTTTATTTTATTGAGTATTAATACAGTCTGCCACACTGAAGGGCGTTGGTACTAGAGCTATAGTATTCATTCCCATAATATGTACATAAGAAAGGATAATAAATAAAAATAACCAAGTAAGAAAAAAATATATAAATGATTTGAGTTTTACCAATGGGTAGTTTCTCTTCATGTTGTACATGTCATATTACCAATGTAACATTTACTTGTTATATTTTTCATGTAATACAGTTGTAAATTTCATTAAAATAAAAAATAAATATATAAATAATAAGATAAAATAATACTGTCTGTTTTATTACTTAAAACTCGTAAATACCCATTTTCTTTCTACTTGGATCGTAAGATAATTTGATAACAAAATCGATTTAAAGGCGATATGCAAAAATATTGGGTCGTTTGTCCTTTATAACCTCCTTATAGTGAAAATTTGGGGATGTAGGCCAATATATGGCTCAATATTTTTGTAGGCCACCTTTTTTATTGATTTTTTGATCAATTTATCTTACAACCCAAGTGAAAACCAAATGAGTATTTACGAGTTTTTAGAATCTAATTAAATAGACAAAGTTTACCCCCCTCCAGATTGAAAAAGCCCCAATTCCAAGAGTTTTCGTAAATAAAGTAGTTTTATGTTACGATGAGATGAAACTATTTACGAAGTTTTAGGTGGATGTTAATAATTCGATAAAAAGTGGGTCTGTACCACGGACTTATACTTAGTTTTAATATGTGTAGAGATTTTTAAATTGTTAAAAATAATTAAGTCATTTAAATTATTATGTATTTTACCAGTGTTTCAACTGCCTCCCACAGTGCTACATCCTACGCTCTGATGAAGACCTGCAAAGTTGGTCGAAACGTCGGCAAAAATTGAATAATTCAACTTGTTTAATTTAGTATTAATTTGAACACACCCCCCGATCAACTCCTTCTCATATTATGCTTTTATTTTTTGATAATTTGTATAATTTTAAATATAGTTTGAGTTTAAATTAAATAATGTTTTTTTAAATTAGTGACCATTGTCTATTGAAAAGGTATATCGAAATGATACTATAGGACAAACATATCGATATTTTAGTGACCTAGATAGATATCTGTATCTATAGATTCCGATAGATACAGATCCAGTCAGTTATACAGCTTTGGAAAGAACTCAAACCTTTAGTTTCGATTTTTTCGATATCTTAAAAATATAATATTGACAGGATTAAAAATATGATTTTAATACATTATATAAATCAGATAACTTTTTTTTCTTATTACGAATTTCCACTTTAGAGTACTGATAATCTCAGTAATGATAAAGTTAAGAATGGATGCTGACCATGTTAACTTGAATTGTTTGTTAGATTAATTCTATTCCTTATCAAGAATTGAACTATATTAATTAATTAATTCAGAATTAATCTTAAATATCTTGTATTTCTAAAAATGAAACAATAACGCTATTTGAAATCTGATCACAATAAAAAGATTTTGATTATAGTCGTTTATTTTGAAATAATAAAATCGTAAAGCCTTGGAAGAGATCTTAAAAAGTTTTTAAAAAATGCAAAATATTTGTTTATATTTTGCTGAATAAGGTAATCTGACCTCTGGCTCTTTCAAAGGTATTATACAATTTACATTTAGTAAAATAATAATTTTTCCTTAGTATTTGATTTAATCCTTCATCTTACAATAGAAATTCTTGAAAGTATTAATATTTTAAAATATTTTCTCGTTGGGAATGTTTTGCTCTCCCAGTTTATTGTTACTGTTTCCGTTCTGAGAAATTATCGCTTTTTTTATTTTATATAATTATGGTGAGTTTTTCTCATTATGCTTTTGTCAATTTTAGTGATAAATTTATAAGTAATTATTCTTTGCGATTTTTTTTATGTATGTTCGTAGTATTTTGTTTCCTAGTAACAAGTGTTATATTGCAGTTTTATGTCTTTTATTTTATATGTTCATGTTCACATAAGCCATATGTTTACACGTTTTGTGAACATATTCCATTAAATGGGCTATGTTAGAAAGATATATGGGTTCTTATATTATTTATTTATTAATTTCTTCCCCGACATGAAGAGACTTATATAATTTATACTTAATTTTGATTTTTTTTATTAATTTATTTATTCAGACATATAATAATCTGTCTCGTGGACAATAATTATAGTGATATATTCACACCATATATAGAGAATATATAAAATTAACAGAAGTAAAATAATAACTTAATAATAATAAAGAAAAACTATGTACAATGAAAAATAAAATTACCTAAAGATAAGTAAATCAAAAACATAAAAACACAGTCATACCTTTTTATACAATATATCTAACCAGGCAGGGAACCCAAAGCCAGGCTTCCCCTCCAACTATAGAAGGAAAAGTAGGACTCTAAGAAATCCCTGCGCAACTCTCCCAACCGCGTCACTGGTGCTAAAGCCAATGGAGAAATATATTTAATTAGTACAAGTTTAATATCATTAGCAATTTATTTTGTTATATATTTTTATTTATTGAGTAATGAAACATTCTGTCATATGGACATTGGTTATAATGAGCTCAGACTACATTCACACTATACATACAGAAAATAGAAAATAAATAGTCCGTAGTACAGAACCCTTTTTATCGAATTATTAACATCCACCTGAAACTATTTTAATAGTTTCATCTCATCGTAACCTACAACTATTTTATTTACAAAAATTCTCGTAATTGGGGTGTTTTCAATCTGGATGCCATCAAACTTTGTCTATTTAATTAGGTACTAAAAGCAAGTAAAATACCCATTTGTTTTCCATTTAGATTGTAAGATAATTTAATCCAAATAATAGACAATACAAAATAATAAAAAAATATGGCCTACTATACTAAAAAAAATATTGGGTCGTTTGGCCTGTATAACCTCGTTGTTTTGACAATTTGTGGGTGTAGGTCACGCCAAACGACTAAATATTTTTTAAGGCCCCCTTTTTTCTTGGCTCTCTGCTCAAATTAACTTACGATCCAAAGGGAAAGCAAATAGGTATTTACTTTGTTTTAGTACCTAATTAAATAGACAAAGTTTTCCTCCCTCCTGATTGAAAACGCCCACATTCTAAGAGTTTTAGTGAATAAAATATTTGTAGGTTACGTTGAGATGAAATTATTCACGAAGTTTCAGGTGGATGTTAATAATTTGATAAAAAGGGACCTGTACCACAGACGATAATGGATACATTTAGATAATTATAATTTGTGAATATTAACAATAATTTGAAATTCTGTATGTTAATAGTATAGTTCTATCGGTACAAGAAGAGCCTGAATATTTGTAGTATTAGTCTTAGAAACAGAAACCCTTTGCCTATTTATTAGAGAACAACCATAATATGAATCTACCGAAGGTTGTGATGGCCAATTATGTCGAAGCGTAAACTTCAACATTCTCGAGTCTAGCTATGCAGGTTCAAATCCGGCCTAGGCTAGTTCAATTTATTTTGGTTGTACCTCTTGAACAACCCTCGTATGCCATAAATGGCGAAGGATATCAATGCACTTGTTGTCTTGTACAGGAGTATTCTTCGACCACGGCGTACCCCGAAGAAGACGGGCGGAGGTACGTCCTATATTGTCGGTCCTGGACGGAGGAAGTGACCGTGCGGAATACCAACTAGCCCCACTTCCTCTTCAGTCACCTGTCACCCCCCTCATTTCCATACGCCTCAAGAGGCTTTCCTTACTTCTTCGGGGCGTTCCTCAAGATGCTGTGGCGGGGATACGCACGATATGGCAACTCTCCAAGAATGCGGCGTTAACTGCCGACATCTGGGCTTCGTCTGTCAGCCCCTGGTCCATTTAGGAAATCGTTCTTTGATTCCTAATTGGTCCTCTCAAGGTTTGTGACTTAGGAAGCATTGAGAACGGAGCAGTCTTTGGTCAGCTGTTGTATAAAACAAAACACTGCAAATTATTTCATAATGGTTTATTATTTCCAAACAATTATACATCTAAAGTAACACTACCTTCCTAGTGACAAAGAAAAAGAAATAATAGGTGATTCCAATTATTGTTCTAAAAGTTTTCTTAATCATTAGTAATTTGCAAAAAAAAAAAAAATAGCGTTACTTCAGTAACACATTCAAAAATCAAAAACAAAGCATATACCCCTTACAGTAGAACGTATAAAAAACATCTAGAGACTATATATTTTACTCCTAATTGTCCGATTTTAACGTTTGTTTGTTTTTTTTTAGGAAATTCCGTAAACTTTTAAGTAACCTAATAACCGTACGGCGGACGGACAAAATAAATTTTATCAGTTTTTTTAATTTTTTGTTCGATTACAATGGTTGATTATTGAAAATAATAAACCAAACAATATTTTAAAACCGTGATATCTTTACTATTAGTGTTCTAATTTCGATCAAACTTTCTTCATTTTTTAGGAAATTTAAATACCTTTGAAACATTTCATCACAATAACGACAAAAAAGTGTATACTTTTTGAGTTATTCGTAATTTAATTTTTTGTTCAGCTCCTTTTCGTTGAAGTATGTTATATAGATAAATTTAAAGGACATCGAGAAGAAGACTTTAACGAAGTTTCATTGAAATCAGTTCATTCGTTTAGGCGCTACAGTCTATAGCAACGCAGGTTTTTCGGTAGCCATCTTGAAAGGAAAAGGCCCATAGAAATGTCATCCTCGGATGACCTCTAATTTTAAGTCAAAATTTGTAGAAAATTGGTCCAGTAGTTTCCGAGGAAATGCTCGGACGGCGTAAATGTAAAACCTCAAATTTTGAAAGGGGAGTAAGTTTTTGAATTTTTGTTCGATTAGAATAGATCATTATTGAAAATAATATAGCAAAATTGATGATTATGATTCTAAGTTGGCAAATAAATTTTAAATCTAACAACACTGCATTAGCACACCACTCTAAAAGTATTTAAAGCTGAATTTGATTTTGACAATGTTCGATTGTTGTAGAAAGAAAAGAAAGGTAGATAATGCTGGACAAACTTTATTGACGTTGGACATTCTCTACAAGTAAAACAAAAAAATTAGCTACTTGTATATATGTAGAATTCTTTTGTTATATATGGAGAATTCTTTACCAAAGTCTAGGATCATATTCTTTTTTTCCTTTTATGACAAATATATTTTTTTAAAGGATGATTATGCTGTTTTATGCAATCCTAATGGGCTATTTTATCGTTTGGTTCTAATTGTTTCTCTCTGCTGAGTATTTTCATAAACGATCACATTACTAATATATTTACCTTAATTATGTTAATTTCCATAAAATTAATAATTCATGTAATTATTTGACATAAATCTGAAAATCTCAATTAGCACAGGGACAATTCATTGATTCGGATTTGTTTAGCTTAATTAATATTACTACAGATTCTTTTTTAATACGTTGACAAACGAATGAAGGGTCAGGTACCTTATTTATTTGTAAATACATACTTGTCCACTTCTCCCCCTCCCCGAGTTAACACAGACTGTGGAAGGGGGCTTTGGCCTTGACTCTTGCCTTATCTACCTGCGCCCCTTCACTCTACTCTCCGCAGCTAGCCCACTTTCCGACTGCATATTTACCTTATATGTATATATATATTCACACATATACATACATACATGTTTAAATATGCTTCCATGCACTGTCTTAAAAATGATATTTCTAGGGCAAGTTCTTAAACTCGGTGGTGTGCTAATTAATGGTCATCGGAAATCCATCTGGCCGTTCCTAAACTTATCAATGGATCCATGGATAGATCTCAGCGGGTTCCTTAATCGATTGAATCACCGATGTTTCAGCGGTTCCTTCAAATTTTGGTCCCGTTGGATCCATTGGATGTAACCACATTATAACCTTAGTGATATTATTTCTCAATTTACATTATACATTCAGTTTACTTTCGGTCTATATTTATTTTTATTTATTTTTTTATTCATCATACAGGAGTGATGTCCTTCCACTAAAATCCTACATGTTCGTAATCGATGCTGGACTCAAATCAATTGATGGATCATTCGATGGAATCAGGCTTAGTTCATAGTTAAGACGGATTTAGGCCCTGTTGGAGAACATCAATGAGAATAAAACCTGCCTTATATAAAAAAAACACTTAATTGTACATTGCCATAATGAGTTTAATCAAAGTCGTTAGAGCCATTTTTGAGAAAATCTTAAGTACCACTTCCGGTTTACGAAAATATTGCAGTACGTAACCTTAAACACGCAGTTTTAGTTTCGTACGACTTTTCGTTTTTTTGAGTTTGGCTGTTCACATACATAACCACAGACACAGACACAGACACAGACACACACACACACACACACACACACACACACACACACACACACACACACACACACACACAAATAGACCATTTTGTGGGACTTGGTTATTTGGACTCAGAGGACCTCAAAACGTGTATTTCCGTTGAGAAATTAGATTAGAAAATTTTTCATGATCGTAATACTTATCCTTACTATATATTTCATACATAGGTAAATGAAAATAAAAATGTTTTATGTAATTTTTAAAAAATGTATGTTATTAGTTTTCACCTTTGCTTTTCCCTGATTTTTTGGTTCTTATATAACAATCGATGTTTTTATTGTGCGGAATAAGAAAAATATTTTTAAAAAATGTACCACTACAACCCATGAAGGACCTTGGGTTCAGTTCTATTTAGGGAAAGCACCGATTGGTCTAGGGTTGTGCAAGGAGGGGATTTGACCCAGATCACGCTCAACCGCCAGGTTTCCTCCCCTTAATTAGTTATTTTAATTAAGGGTACCCACTTTAAAGGGGCTGGGTGTGCCCCACGGCAGAATAAACAGAATAAATAACTTTTCTGCCATGAGCCGGGATTCGAACCTGGGACCACTGAGCTATCTCACTCCCTTTTTAAGTTGTTGCATAAACCAATAAATTTATATTATTAAATCAACTTCTTCAAGTAATTACCAAAACAACATATTTTCGATATTATCCCTTTCAGTTTTATTTTTGTTGGGGGAAAGAGAAATATATTAACGTAAATCAATAAAGTATAATTTTCTATTTATTTATCATAATCTGTTGGTGCTATTTAACCACTTTATCTGGTGATATATTTAAATAATATTTTTCACTCATATATTTTTGTTTGTAAAATATATGTAAAGACTTGACGATGTGAATCATTACTATGCCTTTTCTTTCAAAGAGTTCTTTAAGAGGTTTTAAATTATTTTTTAATAGTCTTTAAATTTCAAAGAGGCCTCTGCATAACTCTTAGCTAAAATACAATAAATATCTAAAATACTTTTTTTTATTATTTATAATAAAGTTATTTTTGGTATATATTTTAATAAATTGAGAAAATTATGAAATTGAATTATCAAAAGAAAATTATCAATATTTTTTTTTTTATTATTTTTGTAAATATACCATAAATGCCCTAATTTAACAAATTTCAATAATATCTAACTATAATTCGATTAGGTATTGAAGTATAATGGTAGAGATATTAAATTATTTGCTAAGCCAGTGTTTCACTTAACCAATTGTCATTGATTAATTGGATCATAATAATTGAAGGTTGAATTCATCGGCTCGCCGATTTCTCTCAATTTAAACCGTCCTTGCCTCGTAAATTGTGTTTGCCCTGTATGAACTGTTTCTTTGAATATTTGGGGAAAAAAAATTGAAATTTGTCCACTTTTATTTCTTTTGAATTTCAGAAAAATGATTATTCAACTATATTAATGATTAATCTATAGTTGTAATGTAGTTAATCAAATTACATATAATTTCAACTTGGAACAATTTATTGAAAGTTAGTATGACTAAAATAAAATTTCTATTTTAATATACTCATTATGCTAAAATATTGCAAATTTTGCTGATCGAATTTATTCACTATATATCATTTATTAGAATTAGGTGTTATTTTAATGTTACTATTTGTAATATACCAAGTACCTGGCATAATTTTTAATAATACTACTGAATTTATGGAGAAAGCAGAAGATTTAAATACATGTATATATGGGGTTTGCCAGAGCTAGCAAAGAGGGTGGGAGATTAATGTCGGAGTTAAAAGCCCTCTTGACACCGTGACTCGAACTCCTAATTATCTCGTTTCATAATTTTGGTATGATAGATTAAAAAATATATGTTAGGGGGCTAGGGTGACCAAATGGGCTAATGCATGTGCACAGCAACCAGATAAACGAAGTTTGAGAGATTAAAAAAAGTACGAGTTCGCGTCCCGGAACCGAAGGAGATTTTAAATTCCCCACCCTCACCCTCCGGCCCGGGAAAACCCCGTATTGTCAAGATTTGTAATAAAAATGTTTTAAGATATTTTAAAATAAGTCAATGATTGTCTTATAGAGAAAATGTGAGAAATGAAAGATATTTTAAAAAGGAAAATATGATAATTCTTATGCATATATATTTTTTTATTTATTTTTTTTTTTTTTGTTGTTTCTTCCCTACCTCGCCTTATAGAGAATATATGAGAAAAGAAAGATATCTTAAAAAGAAAAATACGATAGTTCTTCTGCATGTATATATTTTTAAATTATTTTTTTGTTACTTCCCTACCTCGTCTTATAGGCGAGGTAGGGAAGCAACAAAAAATTAAAAATGATATACATGCATAAGAATTATCATATTCTCCTTTTTAAGATACAAGACAAACATTGATTTATTTTAAAATAACTTGAAACATTTTTATTACAAATCTTGGACTTTTGGAACTTAAAATACACACATGTTTAAAAACGTAGATCTTGCCGATACCCGATACGTTCTAGAAACATCGGTGTCTATTTGTCAGATAAAATAACAGTATTAATAAATTTGTAATAATAAACGAATAGAAAAATTTGTCTTATCTATTAATTCCAAAATAAGCAAGCATATTAATTGTAAAACTCGACTTATTTTTGATAATTTGTGAGCACTCATAGACATTTTCATTCCAGTATAGTTCATATGTTTTTATTTTAAGACATAGTTGCTTTAATTTAACTCATGCCTTAAAATAATTTTATATAGAATAAGATATTTCATCAGCCCATATTTTGTCTATAAACGAGCTGTGAAACGATCCTGTTTATATATTTCAGCAAAAATAATCCTTGAGGATAGCTAACGATGTTGCTAACTTATTAAAGGCTGTCGACGAAATATAGTCCATCAATCAAATCGCTAATTAACGTGTCGGGAAACGCCGGGCAGTTTTATCGAGAAACGTCTCCTCTTCTAGCCAAATCGTCCACTTAAAAGCTTTTAGAGTTTCTTTTGATGAAGAGAAATATATTTCGATGATAAGGCCGAGCTAAATATTATGAAATAATGCGTCATTGGTGAAGTGTGTCTGCAATATAACCCGTCATACAATTTAAAGTTTGAAAAAGAAAAATAGTTAGAAGTTTAAATACAGTAAAACTTTTCAACAGTGGACAACCAGGTGGAATCAATATTTGTCTGCTTCAGAGAAATGTCCGTTTTACAGAAGTTAGGAAAATAAAATAAAAATTAGCAGGTTAAAGTCATGTGTCTTGAGCATTGCATCGTTATAAATGAATGAATGTGAAACATTAGGCATCGCAATTAAACTGATCGATTAAAAAGAGGTATTAGTCCTAATATTTTGCATATAAGTTATTGATATATTCATGCGACATTATTAAGCCTCATCAGTTATTATGTCCCAGCAATATTTTAGCCCTGCAGCGAGGGCCCAAAAATCGACCTGATCGCAGGCGAAGATTTGATTGTAAATTACGAAAGTGTATGTTATTCTGAATAAAAAGAACCTTGTCTGCCGTTCCAGAGCCGCTGCATTAAAAAATAGTGCCTGATTTAAGGAATATTAGACCAATAATTTGAGGATCGAAACAGGAAATTCATTTCGAAAAATGTGAGAAAAGTTTTTATTTTTTTAACTTGTATATATGGGTTTTACACATTCCTAACGTGGACCACCAAGGAAAAACTTTTTACCGCCAAATAATTAAGATTTTTTCGATATTATTTTTTTCACCTGTAACAGAAAAACTTTGCATCAAAGCGAAAAATGTAGCGTTAATAAATTAAAGGAAGTTGAATTGTGCGTAGAACGAGTACATAAAATTTATAATTTGGTTATGGGGTAAGGTATAAAACCACGGTCAACCAACGCTGAGTTTCACCAAATTTGTCAAAAACTGAGACAAATGGCCCTACAACTTGGAAATGAGTTCCTTAAGAGGAAAAATCCATAAAATCGAATTGTAGAGCATCAAATTTTGATCAAATCAAATAATTCAGCAACTCAGTCTTTTCTCTTCGCTTTGGCATTTTAAAAATAAATCTAAAAGTTAGTAGATCAATTAAGGACCTAACAAACTTTGTTATAGTACAGGCACAACCTTACCATACCTAATAACACTTTAGCACGTTAGCACATTTAGCATTTTAAACAAGTCCATGAATATCCCTAATGTCAGTATCGTGTAACTGTTGGTAAAATCGACGATAATGGTCGTCATTTCTCATTTCTGGCCGAATCGCATCGCTAAAATCACATTTCTTTTATATTTATTCAGAAATATTACAATTTTTCCCAATTAAGTACATTTATAATTGTGTTCAAAGAGCACATTCACACTCTATTTAGAATAAATAATACAGAAACTAATAATGATAAAAGTAAATCTATATAAATAAAAGAACTAAATAAATCAAAATAATAACTAAAACACATGCATACTATACAATATTTACAGAATCCCCATTCACTCAGAAGAACTGCGAGCCAAGTCTTTCTCCCCACTCGTGGAAGGAAAGGCAGGACTCTAGGAGATCCCAGCGCCTCTCACTGAGCCACATTACTGGTATTAAGGACCAGTAGAGGCTGAGGAGAGGCGCTATAATCATACTTAGCTTGAGTGAAGGATCTGGCCATTGCTAAAACTCCAATATATACTTATTCACAGACGGTTTCAGGGCCACTGCTCCTTCAACCTTTGAGGTGGATTGTCAGGATGGGTGGTGCTGGATAGAGATTGTGCAAGGGGATTTGGATGATAGATAAGGTTCTGGTGAAATTTGGAGAATTTTTTTGGGATAAGGTCTAGGATAAATGGGATATTAAGGTCATGGTTTAAGGTTGCTAAAATCAAGTATAATCTTCACCCAATCCTGTCATCATGATGATGATTTCAAAGGCATTGGTCATAGAATACTCCTTCATCGAACTTTCGGCAAGAGTTCTCAATCGAAGTAAGCCCTTGGCCACCATCTCTCTCATGGATGTTATTTCTTGAAGTTTGATAGTTGACCAGTTTATAATACTATAACTATATGCTATTATGTTATATTAAATATATAAATATATTATTGTTGTTATTATTAATATTTTTTTATTAACAGGTCGAGAGGATCTTTCGCCGGCGAACTCTCTGAACGGGTTCTCGGCGGACAGCTGCGATGGCTCCAAGAAGAAGAAGGGGTCGGCGGCGCGACAGCAGGAGGAGCTCTGCCTGGTCTGTGGTGACAGGGCAAGCGGGTCAGTGATACAATTACATATATGATAATATAATTAAATAAATAATAATATAATTAAATAGCATGTATAATATAATATAATTGACAACAAACAGATAAGTAAATATCCTAGAGTACTTGCGATAAAGTAAATCTGTCAACATCCTCATTGCTTCCCTCCTATTACATCATTTATGTAATTCATCATTTTGGAGTTAAAACAATATAGGCTATTGTATATGAAGTGAGGTACTATTCAACGATTACTGATATATAGAAAATAACTTTATTCTGGGACACAGTCCCTTGAGAATAACAAAATAGAACAAAATAAAAAGATTGCATCTTACCAAAATGAAATAAATAGAAAAAAAAAATAATATAAAGAAAATATAAGGTAAACATTCTATATACAAAACAATTAACACCATGACAAGACACTTAAAGTTATTTGCACGGTATACACTTTTAAGAAAACAATAAAGAATTGAATAATACAAATATATTAAATTCTTTATTAAAACCAGCTTTGTATTTCTGTTAACAAAACAGAAAGCTGAATCTGACAATATAAAGTGCCTGATTAATATATAAATATATTATCATTTAGCATTGATATTTGACAATATATGACATAATATAAATGTATGTTGTCGAATGGTTAGCAAGTATCTGACCGTTTTTGGAATTGGAATATGAGGGTTTTGAATGTGGATATGGATGGGGAATGTCGAAATGTAGGAATTCCAGAAATTGACAAAGCGAGCAATAAAGGAGTTATGGAACGAGGCAGATCTGTGAGAAGGAATGTAAAGGTTAGAAGGTCAAATATATATAAATATCCTTTAGTCTGAGTTTTTGTTGTGTCCATAATTAAAAACCGGTAGTGTTGCCCAAAATTGGTGTTGGTCTTGCAAAGTGTAAGACCAAGACAAAGACTGGTAAAAAAAATAATCGATTTTTTAAATAAAAATTGAGGCGAAATAGTTAGTAATACTTGACAATTTTCGATTAAAGAGTTAGTGTAACCAATATACATTTGCATTTAACTCTTCTAATTTTTCATTGAGAATTAGTAAGGTTTCTCCTATCTAAAACAAATATAGTAATATCTCTCTAGTAATAAGCTAATAAGCAACTGCAAGACTGTTACGAGAGTCTTGCTTAAGACCAAGACTGAGTTTGCAAGACCAAGACTCGCATTTGGGCAACACTAAAGACCTGATTTTCATGCAGTGAAACCTGTTAAAACGCGCAGTAAAAACTACGAAAATGAGCAAACAATTACTCAATACGAGAAAAAAAAAATGTTTATCTTAACCCTTTTTATTAATATGTTAAGAAAAATACAACTAATAACTTTTTTTGTATGTGTGTAAACTACAAAAAGAAAAGGAAAAACTGCGTTAACCAGCCCTTTTAGGGATAATCAATTTTTGTTTCCATTAAATTGTAGTAACGTGTACATTATTAAATGTCTTTCTGTCAGATTATCTCTTAGCAGAAACCCTTTCCAGCTCCAACCATCCATATAATCCACATCGAAGATTGAAACGGCAATGGCCCCGAGATCTTTTGTAAATATTCTATTGTAGTTCTGGCAGTGGCTAGCATCTCCACTCAAGTCCTGAGTGTATGTTGCTTTCGCGCTCTCACTCAGTCTCCACTGGCTTTTAAACAGTGATACGACTGAGGGAGAAACTTTGGAATCTCTTTAAGCCCTGCTTTGTCTCTCATATGAGAGCGGCAAAGCATGGTTCAGATTGAATGTAAATATTGTACATGAGAATGAATGTGTGACTAGTATTTACTTTTTTTTTCTTTTTACCAGTATTTTTTTTTCTATTTTTCATTTTAATATACATTTTTACTTGATGGTTTTCTTCTTATTTTACTTTTTCTCAATCTGTATTTTAATTGGCATATAAAATGTATGAATTAAACATAAGGCTATATTACTCACTGCCCTAGATTGCGGCAGATTGTATTATTTTTGTTCAGTAAAATTCTTATTATACTGTCAGATTATGTCACCTATCATCAAGTATATATAAGACAAAACTTAATATTTTTAACTTTTAAAATGAACATTAATACAATATTTAAAAAAAACAACTCAAATGTACCAATTCGTGTTACAACATTTAGAACGTTTTAAGAAAATTTTAAACGTTCAATTTTATGAAAACATATGACTATTGTCGGTAGACTGTCATTTGTCTTCTTCATGATTCCAAGTTCTGTCGTGGTATGGTTGAATAACCATTCCATTTTAAATATTCTTTTTCGAAAAATATATAATTATATAATATAAATATATAATATCAACCATATTGAATTGAGGTTCCTATGAAATAATTTAGGTTCTATTCAGATGGTTTTTCATTTATCCATGTTATTTTGCCTTATTTTACTTATAGTGGATATAGTTGCTATTACTATTAAAATGTTGACTCCGGCAGGCGCTTCAGTTATACCATGCCGCTTAACAACTCAAGTTTCAAATTAATTTGAACAGTCGACACAGATATTATTTCATAGAATATATCTTTGTAGGAATTATTTCAATATTTCATAAACTAATATACGTAAAATATAGATCGACAGTAAAAAAAATACAGACTTATATCTATATTCTTGAGTTTTTAAACTTATTTTTTATTTTTTATTAATAAATATATGGGAAATAAATATACGGTTCAGTTAAACGAAGTTAGCTTCAGAATATCTAGTAATATTTAGTAAAACATAGGTCCTTAGAAGAATGTGTGAATGAAATCGCAGTGCATTCTATATTTTTCTTATTAAAAATTTGGATTAAAAATTAAATTAAAATTTGGAGGAGTTCGGCTGGAGTCTCAAGGAAGCAAAGAACCAGAAACGAGACCATAAGAGAAAGGATAAAAGTTAAGAATAATGAACTAGAAATAATGAAAGAAAGAAGATTTCAGTTTACAGATTACAAAAACACTTAAATAAATAAATAAAACTGCGGAGAAACAAACTTTTCATTGGCCATGAGATTTGATGACATTGTTGTAATTCTTTTGCATACTAAGAATTCAGTAAAAATAAAACCATTACAAGTATTTATACAAAGTAAAATAAAAACGAAAATCGTTAAACTGAGATTTAATTTTATTTATTATACAGAATTAGTTCTTTTCCGATAATGTTTAATGCCAGTTTAATATTGATTTATTTTGTTTTAAATTATATTTTTTGTATTCCATTATTAATTGGTTCTGTAGTCAACTTTAATAAGAGCTCCGTCTATAAAAATACGATTATTATGATTTTTTTTTCTAACACAAGAAAACCTTAAGACTTGAATGTTCTCTAAAAAATTTTTTCCTAACATTTACTATTTTTTTTTTATTTTGTGTTTGTTAAAAATATAATTATTATAAAATAAATATTAGCTTTCTAAAATTAGATATCTTTCGTATCTCTATATCTTCGTATAGAGCAACTACATGATTCTAAAAATATGAACAAAGTCACACTATTAGAGAGTGTACATCTCAATTCATCAGCCTAATACAAATTAATAAAGATGGTATCCCTTAATCATTCAATGCAGTCTTATTTTTCGTCTTCAGATAGGGTTAGCGCAAATCTTTTTTTCATGGGTGATAAATATTCAGGACGGAGTCATTATAATTTTTTTTTATTTGTGCCGACGTTTCAACCCAAACATGTGAATCATTTGTACTCATTTGAGTACTTGAAAGCCTTCAGTGCTCGACCCATGTTTGATGATGACCTACATGTTTGGGTTGAAACGTCGGCACAAATAAAACATTTTTATAATGACTGCGTCCTGAATATTTATCACCCATGATATGTAGAAAACTCGACTAACTTCCTTCAATAAGAATTTTTTTTTATTTTTTGGCTTATATCGCCGTAATTATTATTGATATAAACTTAGTCCGTTGGACATTTAGAATCTCGAGGGTCTCCTTTTTCTATTTAATACATTAAAATTGAAAAAAAAAAACAGTTATAAAGGTATAATCTCCATTAAAAAAAAAAATAATCTCTTTTTGAACTAGTGATGTACACCACGAAATTCAATCGTTCTAGTAATGCAGAATGGATCAGTTCCATTAATAGATATGCCTCAGAAAAATTTTGAAATCTTTATTTAAATGTAAAGATAACGATAAAAATAAGAAAAAAATAATGTTCAGCTTACTCTAAGCAAAACTGTTAGCAGGAAGGTATGAAACATGCTGATCTCAAGAGCACTGTAGAAACAACAATGATAGGCATTTTAAAATTTTCTTTTGGAAACTTTGTTCATAAAGTTGTCTATAGAGGGCATTGTTCTTCAATCTAGAAAAAACTGGAAACTTTAAATCAACAAGAAAGTTTGTTGAAGAAAGCTAGTCGACTGTTCTACATATCATTTATAAATAGTCAGTCATTATACAATTTTTTATTTTTTATTTGTGAACGTTTCAACCCAAACATGTGGTTCATCATCAGGGCTGAAAATTTTAAAATACAATCAGAGATATAATATTATACGACCGATAATGGTAAATAATAAACTATAGTGATTGATGGTATATGAATCTTAACTATTATTACAATACAAAATATTAAAAATGAAATATGTAAAAAGTTATATAAACTAAAAATACTATATATAATCCATTTATAAAAATTTGTAATATTTTCTCTTACTAAACGTGGTTGGAGCACTGAAGATTTTCAAGTACCGACACATTTGGTAGGTAAGTGGGAAGGTCGGGGGAGTATTTCCCAGTTGTCCTTTTCCAGATAGCAAAAGGCAGGTAAACATAGTCAGAGGTGGAGGGAGGTAACATTCCTGTTAGAATGTAAATAATTTACCGACTAAATATTTTAGATGTGTGAGAAGATTTGCATTGTTTCTTATGGTGACAAAATTGTGAATATTGGCTAGTAATGAAATGAACATAAGCAAGAGGTGCCAATAAATATAAATATAACATATTGAATATTTAATGGTTGACCGTTGCATTATAAAGGAAGGAGATGGTCCGGGGTTGCGGTC